ACTCACAACAGACACAAGTAGGTATGATCATGGCAAGTGGATTAAGATGGCTTATGCTGTGATATGGTGTATGGGAACTGCTGAGTCACGGCCTGAACTTCTGATTGATCACCTGAGGAGAGCCATGAGTCAGCCACAGGAGCACAGGTGAAGGCAATTCACCTGTGCTGCTGGAAGGGGTGGAGCCTGGTTCCACCTCTCCTAGACCTATTTAAGAGCTGGCTGCCAGTGGGGAAGGATCTTATCTGCAGATCCACTCTGCTGGTGTTTTGTGAATGAGCCCAGGATAGGGGTAAGCTTTCCATTTATTGTCTTTTGTTATCATGGTCCACTTCACCTAACTCTCTTGTGATCATAACATCCTAATATTCTTTGATTATACATATGGGAATTAGCACAGCTAACAAGCAGCTGGTGCAACACTGTGCAAAACAGCTGATTTCAGTGAGACCGTGGTGTAGTAAGATACAGTAGTCTGTTTTATTCATGCTTCCCAGCACTGTAAAACTATTGTGTGTCTTTGACCACGCAGTATTTTGACGTGCATGTTTTCAGGCAGTACCACTGAAAGTACGCTATTTTCCAAATAAACTTATTATATGTTTTGTCAGATCTTTGTTTCACACTCGCTTAGGCAAAAGTATGTTACATGTAGCCCTTTGCTCATGAAAAAAAAGTCTCTGTTTTGTGGCATGAAGGTATTTAAAACAAGAGTAAACTTGATTTTTATTACTGGGATACTAATAAACCCTATCTGTGTATTGGAAGCGCACGCTGCTGTGTGCTGCACACACACAGAACAAAGAAAATCCTAGCTTCAAGAGCTTAAAAGTCTTAAACACACTGGATTTGAAGTTGTCCTACTAATAATGTATTACATGTTAAGAGCCTGTATTTAAAGAAGAGCCCCTGAAGTTATGGTGCTGAGATCAGCTTGATTTCTAAAATATTCAAATATTCTGATCTGCTGCAAACCTGACAAAACTCAGTTGAAACCAGTTATCCTATCCAGTTTGATATCACAGTAAGATAAATGCTTTTTTTAATATAAAAGCTTGGTCTGAAATCGTCTGCTGTTAGACAACCTACAAAAAATCCTTTTAACAATCAGTCTTTTCTTACTAAGTTTTCAGATAGCATCTCAGTTGTTTTAGATGTTATTTATTAAATATTGTTTAATTAAAATTGATTAACTCATTTGGGACCTGAATCAGTCACCCTTAATATTGCTGACATTTTTTATCAACTTCATTAGCTACTAGATCTAGTTCTGAAGCCTTTTGGAAACCACCAGTAAGAATATACTCAGGAAAAGCAACTGAGCTGTCATTTGTTCAGCTACCTGGAGGCTGCAAATGTTCCAAGGTATCCTGGTTTCAGTCAAAACAGTGTTAATAGAGCGCAGATGGTTGGTTTGACTGTGGCTGTAAGCAAATGAAAGTACTTGATAGTCTTTCCTGAAAATAGTGGGCATTAAGTCTACCTTCTTTGCTGGCAAGTGGCATGTCTCAGAAGAGACACGCAGATGGCATTACCCAACACACTGAGGAATCCTCAGAGAGGCCAAGGACCAAATATTCATGAAGAAGTAATTGCCTTCCTGGCAAGCAGCAGTGTTCCATCAGGGTGTAACTGATTGCCAGAAGGTGGGAAAGGTGGTGTTCCTGTCTGCAGAAGTTGTTCTCTGCAACTGGCAGTTTGTGAGACACTAACAGGGTGAATGTTCATTGCATTTTCTGAACACGGGGTTCAGGCTGAAGTGATATTGCCAAATCCTTTGACAGCTCAGGCAAAGATTTAAGGACTGCAGATAGAGGATATCTTGCAAGTTAAAACAGCCCAGCTGTAAATTACAAAGGGGCTGCAATAGATATGCCTAAATTGAATACTTTCTACTCTTAAGGTAGGACACCTTCTGTCTCAGGCAGCAACAGCTGTTGCCTATAGTATCAATCTCAAATGTGGTGACTAGTGGGCAGAGAAGCACAAAGAAACTCAGTTACATTTTTAACCCATTCCTGTTAACAGGATAGTAAATGGACAAGCAGCTTTTTGTTGTCCTCATGTTTCTCACTTAAGTAGCGTGCACAGTATATGGGAATGCAAGATAAAGAAGAGAATTTCTAGGGACTCAGTCTGAATTAGAACACAGAAGAATTTGGGTAGTTCTTGTACTCTGATTCTCAGATATTCGTTCTTGCATGCTCTCCTGCTCCTTGGTAACACCGTAGAAACAAAATTAACTTTGGGTTTGCACCATTTTCCTCTTAAATTCCACTATTTGCTATTCTTTTAGAATATTGACAAAAATTACTTATAACAGAGTGGTCATAAATTCTATCTGGAAATATGGTCATGGAGATTTTTGTGCACCTGGCTTGGGAGTGTTCTGGCTACTGCAACAGCCTGGGGATGTTTGTTAGGTAATCATGTCCTGCAATGAAAGTGAAACAACAGGATGATGGTGAGGGGGAAGTGGGATGTTTTAAAATAATTGAAGGTTTTGGAGGGAAGCTGTGCTTACAGTATCATTTAAAGCATCTTTCTTGACTGTTTTCCTGAAATTTGTGAGGTGCTGAACTGCAGTGGCAAAGATGACAAGAGCCTTCTGTCACACTGTGTGCTTTTCCTTACAGCTAGGGTGTGAGTTCTAAAGAATTATTATTGTAAGCAGGACCAGAAATAGGAGCTGAGTCAGGAAATCTTCCTCAAGGTTTATTAAACCTGGAATATTTGTCTCCTTTACCTCTTTTCCATTGCGTTGTCTGGTTTATTTAATCCCAACTGCAATTTCCTTCTGAGTTGTGTATTTGTGTGGCTACTAGAGATCTTCATTCTTGAAAAATAAGAACAATAGATACAGCGGAAAGGAAGTTCTTCAAAAAGACAGAGCTGAAGGTGGGACTCAATCTCACAACTTAGGAGACTGACCAAACTTTCTACCTCAGTCACAACTTGGTCCTTATTTTCTCTTGGGCAATTCATTTAATTCACTTGATCCTTTTCATAAACATAGGCACAATACTCTTCCATATGCAAGCTGTAATTTAAAGTCCTGGAAGGCTCTTAAGCTGAGCTATGTTGCTATCTGATATCTAAGTACTACTGAGATGTAAATTCAGAATTATGTTATTATTCATTAACCATAATTTTTTACATTTTGTCCAAACCAAATAAGTGTCAATTTAACTTGTGCTGCACATGACCTTTCTGTAATTCATATTGTATTAAAGAAACAACTTGTATTGCAGAACTAACTGCATGCAAAGATAGAGGAGAATAAAGATACGTATTTTACAGTCTATTAATTCTGCACCATCTCAGAGAGAGCAGGATACTTAGTGGATTACTTAGGCTAATAACTTCTCTAGGCTACTCAAGGTCATATATAATGGATGATGTACCTTTCTGTGTACATACGCATTATGAATGGCTTTTGGGCACTTGTGATCAGGTCTAGGAATTGTGCCAATTTACTGTTGAAAAGAAAGATGGTATTTAGCATTTGCATGCTAAATTTTATACTTTTACACTTTTCAAGGGGAATTTTAACTAATTAACCCTTATGCATCTACAGAGTACAAGTGTTATCACAGATGTGGCATACAGTTACAAGAAGATCAGTGATTTTTTTCTAAGTTAGAACCAAAGCCAGAATTAAACCTCAAATTGCTCACTTGGTCTTGTGATCAGTTTATTAGGACACATTACTCCATTATCCCCAGCAACAGAGAGTTCCTAAAGTAAGGAGTAGGTTAGTAGAATCCAAGAGTTTTGATCTATTCATGGGCTTGAGAGTCCAGATACATTGTCTTTATAGGATGAGCAAGTAAATATAAATTGGAAGTATTCTATCATCAAGTCTTTCTGGGAACATCTTGGTATTGCTAGCAAGGGTCCACAGCTGCTGGGTGTTATCTGCTTTTGTTGCTTGTAAGTTTACCCCACTTAATTGCCTTTTATACTAACTAAACACACATATGGCAAGGAATTGCAGGTGATTAAGCAGAAAGTTGGAGGCCACACTGAATGTTACAGAAAGGAGGCACTGAAGATTATAAAGTGTTTTTCTTTTGCTAAAAAAAATTGTGAATTGTCATTGGCTGGGCTGAGGAATATCTTCTGAAAGTTTGGTTTGCTAATTACCTTTGAATGTAGAAATGCTCTTTATAAAGTCAGTTATGGAAAAAAGAGAAATTAGGAAGTTCTGGTTTCAATGGACAGACTTATAAAGCTGTATTACACAAGTGGGAGAGAACAGCTTCAGACAAAGATCCTAGATGGCTCTGCTTTCAACCCAATAACCTGTCTTCAGGAAGCAGTTTATTTTCGATCAAGGGATTACTTTGGTTCAGTTCTTAGTTTAGAAAATATCTGATGGCTAAGAGTTGTTGGTTTTTTTTTTTTGTGGATTCTTCTGATCTTCATTACTTTTTTTTAAAGATTATGCACACTGTCACTTTCCGTTTCTCTTACAGTTTCTACTCATTTGTAAGTATTCCTAAGTGTTAAGTGTGCTTGCTCTTTTGCAGTCTCCTCCTTCAAGCCTATTCCAAAGAGTACTGACTTGCAACTGAGAAAATGGGGTGCTCTTACCTATTATAAGCTGGCACGAACTCCAGAGAAAGATGGGGAAAAAAAAAAATGCCAACCAACCAGAACAATAGATCTTGTCCCCCAGCTTCTGGCACCCATTAAAAAGAGGCAGAAGTAGTAGCCCATATAGACAAATTGTTTCATTCGACTTGCCAAATTTTGTTTTCTCAGGCCTGATATAGTCACAGGTAAACTGAAGCGGTTTTTTAGAATAACTTCATGCGGAGGTTTAGAATAACTTCAAAATCCAGGTTAGAATCCAGCATGACTTTGCAGTACGGTTTAGATCTGTTGCAATTATCTTTACCTACGTGATGATCTGTGTATCAATGAAATCCTACGACGGAATATTTTTTTCCCTTAAAGTATGGACAGCATAAGCCAACTATATAGAAATCTATCTCAGCATTTTATTGGAATTTTCTTCATAAATGCCTTTTATTCTAATCACTGGTAGTGGGCATTCATATACACATCAAAGTCCAATTTTTGTTTTCTTACAGATCAGATTTTAGAATAACTTGTGTCTACTGAATAAACCAAGTTGTAATGAAAGCAAGAAAGACCTCAATGATATAGGATGTGCATTTGAGGTCACTCTAATACTTAGTACTATTTTAAAGTTGTAAAAATGAGAGAATGACAGTATAATGTTACTATGAAAGCACAATTCATCTTGTGTCTTTCAGTTTCCCACACTATCAGGCCTATTAAGCTTCTGAAACACTCTGAAGAGGCTTTAAAACAAATTGTTGATGAGCGAAGTTCCCATCAAAGTCCATTAGCATAAATGAGTGGTCACGGTAGCTGCGGCTGACGTATTCCATATCTTTTTCCCTAGAAGAGTAAATCTGAACTTCTGAAGAGCTTTCAGGCTCAATCTTTTTCAAAGATGATCTCAGAATGCCATTTAGCATTCCCATTGCTTTTCATGTGCTTGTGAGAGGAGCTAGCTTTCTGAGCATAAGGTGCACATTCCTCTTAGTAGATGAAATAAAAAAATGATGGGAGGAAGGGAAGGATCTGAAGCATGGCTGCAGCGAAGACTGTTCCCTGCATTCTCAGCTTCGCATAGCTATAGAACAAAAGGCTTCTCAAAATGGTTGCCGGGTCTTCTACAGAAGTCAAACTCCAATTCTCCTGTAAGAAGTAAAAATATCAATGCAGGAGATATCATAAATTTATGGCATAATAAACCTAATATTAATCATGGTAATACTTTGCATTTCAAAACAGGACTGATCTACTCAGACTACTTATTTAACCCGCACAATTTGAACAAACTTTAGAGAGATTTTAGCATCTCCTTGAATAATGTGGATACAGTATAAATTTTGAAGTTCTTTTGTGGCAATATTTCAGACTTTTTTAGAATAAAGGAAAAGTAAGCATTTAATCTTCGTTCAGAGTTCAAAGGTACAAATGCACTATTTTTTTAATTGCTAATTATGTCTTAAAACTATTCATTTAAAAAGGAGCAAGGTTAAAACACAGATATATCAGAATGCATTGCTTATTCATGAAAGCATAAGCTTGTAAAGAAGGGAATAAAATTAGTGCCCTTTACAGCAGTAGTAGAACATCTGTTGTCATGCCCATGTTCCTTTGCGAGTCGGTTGTATTCTTCTGGTAAACAGCACTTATCAGAAACTGTATTTTATTTATGACTAATGGCTTGATATTCCACACAAGCCTGGACCTTGCAATTTTATCTAGTATCTCTTTGATAATGCAGTATCAGTTAGCAAATGTTGATCCAAGTAAGATTCCTTTCTCTCTGTTCACATAAGCACAAATTTGTAGCTTTGGGATATCCAACAAATTATCTCATTGATCATTAGATATGCATTAGTGGGTGGTGTTATTCCAAATGTAATAAACTAAGAAAAGGTGGATTAGAGCTTGTGATAACATTGAGGTCCTTCTACTGTTCTTGCCCATTGTCATTCACATGATTCCTGAGTTGTTCACAATTACAGTTGATTTTTTCCATAGAAAAATAAAGTCCTGCTGTTACTTAAACTCTGCTGTGTTTTGTCTCAGAAGCTGTTTTTGTGTAGTCACTGGGACTAGTCTGACTACAAGAATATTAGCTTTTGCTGATATTTTGAATCAATGGGGGTTTTGAATCAATGTTGTTTTCTTGGTTTTGTTTTTTTTTTTTTGTTACCAGTTCACATCACCTGGGAGTCTTGGATTATTTTCCAAGAGCAGTGGAAAAATAAGTCTGAAATATTATTGGCAAGAAACTTCTGGTAGACGCTGATACTCACCTCTTCCTTTCCTTGTTATGAAATTCTGAAGCCCATATATGCTTTCACTTTAGTAAAGCTGTTTTTTACTATATGTGCAGTCTTTTTATCTGTTCTGTCAGAATCTTTTGCATTTTGCTCTTGCTGTCTTCTCATAATCTTACAAGCTGATATGGAAGCTACTATTCTGAAGCTGCTCCTTTCCCACAAGTGGACTCTACAAACCTTGTTTTTGCAGTTTGCCTGTTTCTCAGAATAATGCATTTGTCAGGATTTTCAGTCAGATGATGCCACAGGACTTGGAATAAAGCCTGATTAAACAGCTGAGAAACTTGTTCTGTTCTTCTGGAAACAACCTCTGGTTATCCATCTTTTCTTGCACGTTTAACTTTTCTCTTTTGTAAGAGAGTAAATATCTGTTGACTGGCAAGTTATTCTCAGTAAATACGTATTCACCTCTGATTTTATTGTGACTAAATATCTTTTCAGCTGACTGATTTATGGAACTCATTCATATTTCAATCAGATGAAGCCTTGTATGAAATATGAAGTATTTTACATATGTACAACCTAAAAATATATGCCTGAACTACTGAACAGACAATGATGATTTGAGGGGAAAAAAAATAGGTTTAGATCCAAACACCATTTCTAGGAATGCTGTTTTTGAAACATAAAAGGAATTGTTGCTGTGCTGTAAAAGAATACCATAATGTGTGAGTATCTTTCTTTTAAACAGATACTGTTGTCTGTATTTATAATACAGTGCTTGAATATTCACATGTAACTCTTCATGAAGTTCACCTAAAAATCCATACATAAAGGCCATAATTGAGATGTGGCAATTATGGACTGGAAGACTGTCATTTTCTACTGAACACTTAAAGCAAGCAAATCAATGCCAACATATTGCTGTTAGCAAGAAAGTGTATTAAACAGTAAGCGTAAATCACAAAGCTATTACGGTGCCTTAATATGGAGTAGTTCAAGAACAGGTCACAACGAGGAGAGCTACTTATTACAAGTATGATTCTGGCTTCAGACATATTTAAAGTTTTATTGCATGAGGATTTTATTTGATCGCTCTGGTTCATTCATTCTGGGCTGTTTAACTCTTTGCTGCTGTTTAGCCTGTGAACTGTCTTCACTGGTGGCTACTCCTATCTTTGGCGTTTGACCACATCAGGCAAAACTTTTGGACTTAACTCTAGCTTTTGATGTGACACAGTCATCAGGATGTACATAAGTGTGCACCACAGCTGTGTCAGCAGTCAGCCAGGATGGTTTAGGTGGCCTTCAGGGAAGTTTAAGCTTAGCTAGCAGAAGGGTAAAGGCTTTAAAATGCAGCCTCTCCTTTATCTGTGAATATCTCTGATCTCAACCTGTTTCAGTGTACTATGTATTATACCAGTTGCTACAGGAGAATGTGAAGTTCGTTCTTGCTTACTGATGTGGAGACGAAAGAGGAGACATGAGGATACAGTACAGTTTCCTTCAGAGATTCTGGGAGCTCTCCATATGCACTTTGATTGGTAGCCTCTCTTCAGGCAGTAATGGTGCCCAAATGGTTGGCTTTTAAATAACAAATGCATAGAGAGATGTGACTACATTTTGCAGGCACTTTACTATTACTTATCAATTCTGAAAGTTACTTATGAAATATGAAACCTGAAAGACATTGGGCTCAAACGTGTGACACAGGTGAAGCAAACTGAGCTAATCAAGAACGAATGGTAATGCTTTGGGAAATGATCCTGAATGCAATGCGACAATTTCTTGGCGTGTCAGGGGAAATTAATTTGTATGCCATGGCGCAGATAAAGCACCCCTGTTAGCCCCTGTCTCAAATGTGGTTAGCGGTAGAGAGTTGTTGTAGATTGAATAACACAATGTAACAAATGCATTTAAGAGTAAAACAGCCTTCAAGCGTGCAGCACGCCCATTTCTGGAAGTCTAACTTCAGGAGAGGCAGAGAAATGCGTTGATTGCAGACAACTGAAAACTCAAGATCAGGAACTTAGAATAAAAATATCTTCAAAGATGTAAATGCAGCAGCTTTATTACAGTCACACAGTATCTCCAGTAGATACAGAGTACTTTGATAATGCCACTATTTTTCAAGTCCATAGTAGTACGTATTGTACATAAAACAACCATTCTTTTCCTACCTACAAAAATGTTGTATGTATTTCCTTCTCTCAAATTTATAGCACAGAAGACATGTTTCTTTTAAAGTAGCTGTATATATAAAGTACCTAGCAGCAAAGTGGCTTTCAAGTCATTTTTACAGCACTGTAGGGCAGTATCTTTTTAACAGCCTTTTCTCAGACCATAGAAATGCTGCTGTTAGAGGCAGGCTGTGGTTGTTTGTATCTGCTGGAAAGAAGGAAGTCTTCTACTGAGGTTAAGACTCTTCATTAGAGAACACAGCTTTATATATTCAACTGAAAGTCTAGTAGTTTTTGAAGTTTTCAGAGGCATTTAAAAAGAGTAAAGCAGGAAAGCCTTTTTATTCAATTGTTGTAAGCAGCATGGGCCAAATTCACAAGGCTATCAAATTCAGTGTACACCTACCTCTTTGTCTTTCCCCAGACTGTTATAGACCTCCATATGTATTCCCTAGTTACCTTAACAGGTGTTCTCTGACACTCAAACTTTGATCTGTGAAACAAGGCAAACTTATATTAAGGAACACAGCATCAACTTTGGAAACACAGCTCCTGTGCATTGGTATGATTGTGTGAAACACTACCTCCTGGTGACTGTAAGAGTAGCCTTGTGTTCCATCTGCCACCTTGAAGTACCAGAAAGCAACTCCTGTTCAAGTTCCTGTCAGCACACCTTGCTTGTACTTCAGGATCAGACTCCTATCTGAGCAGCAGCAGCATTCAGAATCCTGCATGAGGCATCTCCTGTCCCTTGCAGATTTGCCCTGGGTTCAGGCAGACGTCCCTTCTGATCATCTCAGGATGACGTTTGACATGAATACATGAATAGTCTTAGCCTGCTGCACACATGGTTTCGGACTGATGGCTTTTCTAGTCACAAGTGCAGGTGAACTGGAACAGAACTGAGCCGAGTGTAGCAGACTTGTACTGAGAGAAGACTGCTAGTATAACCACTGCCCCGCCATTCCTACAGATGGCCGCTTGCCAATTTCCATTTTCCCAGTAGGTCCTGAGAGGTGATAAGTGCAGACTGCAGGCAACAGGCATCTAGGAGGCAGCAACTAAATCCCTGCCCCAAAAGCAGGAGCGATGAGAAGAACTGATGGATATTGTTTTGTTTGGAAAGTGGTGGCTACTGGTTTCATAAACTAACAGCTTTGTAAACTGCTCTCACCTGAGATTTATCTAATGGTCCATTCTGCAGGCTGATTTCGTTATGGCAGCAATGAGTTGCAAGAGGCAGGCAAAGGAAGCTGAAATTGGGCTTGGAGATTTAAGTGTTGCAGAAGGGAAAATCAGTGTTCCTTCTGTTGAAAATTGATATTTCAAATAATTTGACTTAGAAAGTGAAGAAAATAATGTTTACAGAAAAAGGTCTAGTTCTCCATGAAAGCATCTGGTATATCACATTCCAGCATCTTTTAGGGGTGAAAGTAGGAATGTGTGCAAGCATGGACAACGTAGTTGTATTGTTTTTTCACGTAAAGGCAGAAAGGCTTAGCAGTTCCCCTTTTTCATACCTCAGAAGATATCTGAAATGATATCATATTTAATATTCATTTTACAAAAAAATGGTATGCCGAGAAAATACTACTCCATAATGCTAATTCTTTTAGAAGATATGTGCATGAGAAGAGTGTTGGAAAAAATTGGCAGCCTAAAATGGAATGCAGTCTAATCTTTGAAACACTCTTCCTGCATGGAGGAATAAACTTTATTT